GGAGCCCAGTATGAGTGTTTTACTTAATGTATTTCAGCTTTAGAGATGGGAAAAATACCATACATAGTTGAAAAAAAGGATTCGAAACAGGTCAATATAAACATATAAAAGCATGTTTGTGTAGAATATAGGGGTAATGTTTATAGAACAATCACCTTCTTTCAAACGTATACTTAGTACTTTTCTTACCAATCTTATATTACATTAAAACTATACATTTAAGAATTTCCAAATGTCATTGTTGGCAAAGAACACCAAATCACTTTCTGATTGTCGTTTCTTTTTAGAGCGTACTACAAGCTTAAGATTTCAGGGGAAAAGCAAAAAAATCTTTGTAATTAACATGATCTGGTTATTGCTAGCTGCTTCCTTTGGAAAATATTTGCATCACTGCCTCAGGACACATGGATTTGGCCGATTGTCCACAGATTGGGTATTTGGGATCCAGAAATGGAGCCTTAATTTCCCTGGAGATAGTTCCCTTTTGGCAGAGAGAACCTTAAAGTTTATAGGGATCCAAACAAAACGCCAATTGTGTGATTTTCTGCAGCTATTACATTTTTAAATCATTTACCCCATACTGTTTTAAAGGGGCCCTATTCTGCAGTATGTAGTGGTCTCTACTTTAAAGAAGTCCTCTCCTGCTGCATGTTCAGGTGATATATCAGTATGTAGTGTCTCTACTTTAAAGGTCCCCTCCTGCTGTTGTCAGGTGTATACCAGTATGTTAGTGTCTTCTACTTTAAAGAGTCCTCTCCTTCTGATGTCCAGGTGTATATCAGGTATGATAGTGTCTCTACTTTAAAGAGTCCTCTATTCCTGCTGGATGGTTCCAGGTTGATGTATTCAGTATGTGTAGTGGTCTCTACTTTAAAGGAGGGTCCTCTCCTCTGATGTTCAGGTGTATATCAGTAAGTAGTGTCTCTACTTTAAAGAAGTCCTCTCCTGCTGATCCAGGTGTATATCAGTATGAGATGTCTCTACTTTAAGAGTCCTCTTCCTGCTGATGTTCAGGATGTATATCAGTATTGTAGTGTCTCTACTATAAAGAGTCCTCTCCTGCGGATGTTCACGGTGTATATCAGTATGTAGTGTCTCTACTTTAAAGAGTCCTCTCCTGCTGATGGTTCAGGTGTATGTCAGTATGTAGTGTCTCTACTTTAAAGAGTCCTTCTCCTGCTGATGTTCAGGTGTATATCAGTATGTAGTGTCTCTACTTTTAAAGAGCCTCTCCTGCTGATGTCAGGCCAGGTTAAATCATCTTGACCACAACGTCCAATTTTTGAGTTATTGTGTCTCAAGTAAAGCCAAGTTAACACCTAGTCATTATGGTCACAAATACTGTAGTACTGATATTTCTGCCTGAAACTCAAATTGTTATCTTTACTCGTTTAATTGCCTACTTCACCACGTCTAAGAAGGTGCTCTCCGGGTACCTGTATTCGGACGACGTCTTGTTGAAAAGGTCCAGGGAGAATGATCCCATGTTTGGTGACGGCGCAGACTGAGAACACCACCCAGTTCTCTTCCGTTACTCCTGTGGTCATGGAGGCGTGGTGAGATACTTCACAGGAGGCCGGGCCGTGGATGGGGCGCTGGTTTGTCCAACAACCAGACAGGAAAGCCACTCCCCTTCTTCTGAAATCATTACATTAAAGGTCACCTATTATGAAAAATCCACTTTTACGTATTTTCTACATCGAATGTGTCCCCTCTTCTTCATGTCTCTTCTACATCAACATGTGTCCCCTCTTCTTCATGTCTCTTCTACATCAGCATGTGTCCCCTCTTCTTCATGTCTCTTCTACATCAACATGTGTCCCCTCTTCTTCATGTCTCTTCTACATCAGCATGTGTCCCCTCTTCTTCATGTCTCTTCTACATCAACATGTGTCCCCTCTTCTCCCTCTTCTTCATGTCTCTTCTACATCAACATGTGTCCCCTCTTCTTCATGTCTCTTCTACATCAACATGTGTCCCCTCTTCTCCATGTCTCTTCTACATCAACATGTGTCCCCTCTTCTCCATGTCTCTTCTACATCAACATGTGTCCCCTCTTCTTCATGTCTCTTCTACATCAACATGTGTCCCCTCTTCTCCATGTCTCTTCTACATCAACATGTGTCCCCTCTTCTCCATGTCTCTTCTACATCAACATGTGTCCCCTCTTCTTCATGTCTCTTCTACATCAACATGTGTCCCTCTCTTCTACATCAACATTTTTTTCTATGTGGAACAAATCTGCTCAAATCCTCAGTGTTTTAATCAGGATTTAAAATCGATTCCATCTGTGTTTTTAATTCTTGTTTTACTTTTATGTGTGCACCACGACTCTAAGTCAAATTCCTCGTACGTGTCAACCTACCTGGTAATAAACCTGTTTCTGATTCTTCTGATTCTGAAATCTCATTGGTTGATATGTCCGACTGATCCAACTCAACTGCAAGATCCTGCACAGCCTCGTCGATGATGTCGTCCGTCGCCGGTGGGAGGGTTTGGATTTCGATTCCTTTCGGCACTGACGGGTTCAAGTTCTCATCGATAATGACGACCGCTGGCTCCGGTTCTGTTCCTTCAAAGAGTCCAGAGTCTGAAGTCGGGTTGGGTTCAGACACTTCGGTTGCCGGAGGTGAAGGGAAGGAGTCTGAAACCGGAGTTTCCGTTACACTGGCGTCACTTTCTGGAGATATCGAGTCTTCTTCAGTTCCCTCTGATGTGTCGTTGTTGTCTTGATCCGTCACCTCTTTGAAAGTCAGGCAGAAAAATATCATTCATTAATGAGCGCTTGCAACGGGTTTTATACATGTCAGTATGAATTAAACATAATACATTCAAACTGGTAAATGTGCAGTTTGAATCGACACGTTAAGAATAAATATCTTTATGTAGCACATAGAAAGGTTTTGGCGCTTGAAGCCAATGCAGTAACATTTTAAATTGTTTGAAAACGAAAGTACCTGCAGGACTCTGGCTGTCTTGAGTCTGTGTCTTCATTGTTGATTGGACTTATTGTGAGTCAATGTGGATAACACAGCAGCTTAACGCAATGTAATGTCTGAAATCATCAAGAAATCAAACCCAACTTTTTGCAAGTGTTGCTAGAATGGCGTCAAAAAAAGAGCAGCTTACAAGCCGGAGATTCTGTCGAAATAATATCTGTAATCAGGAGTCACATTCAGGGGTTTTTGACTGAAGGGAAGAGAGCTCCGAGTTTTATTTATTTGAACTTTAGACAGCCGAAACAGTTAGCGAACGGCCAGTGTTAGCCTGCTAGCATGTTAGCAACAGCAGTTCTGTCCATGTCTTTCTGGTACAACAACAGAACTGATTGTCACCGCCCCAAAGTAAAGGGAAGCCCAATAGACTTGTGATTGGTTAAGCTGTATAGTTATTTTATTTTTTCCACACAGAACGTTTTTGACAGCTGTATTTGTTTCTGTAACCCATCTCATAGCGCTGTAGCAAGTAGAGTTGTGATATGTTTCTGTTCTGGTAAAGTATATACCATAATATCTTTAGTACAGAACAAGTTTCGAATAAAAAAACGTATCAGCAGGAGCGCAGCCCCAAAAACAGAATATAAATATATATCAGGGTTTTTCATTATCTGCTCAAATGTCAGTGCATGACTCTATTTACACAATGCACGCCCTTTAATAACGTATTATTCATATGTTTCTCACCTGCAATATCAGACGTGTCAACATCCTCCTGGATGACGGGTTCATCTTCCTCTGGAGGCTGGATGTCTGCCGGTACGATGGGTAAGTTATCTTCCTCATGAGGAAGGTGTTGGTCCAGTCTGATTGGTGGAAGGAACTCGTTATCCTCAATGATCTCAACAGTATCCTCTCCCACGTTCAGATCTTCCACGCTGTCAAACGGCTGAAGGATTTGAATGGATTCTGCTGCCGGCTCAGTGACATCTTCCTCAGGTTCTGGTTCTAAAAGCTCAATCATCTCCTCCTCTGGATTTGGTTCTGGGACTGCCTCTTCTGATGCTGGCTCTGAAACTTCGGGTAACTCTTCTGCTGGCGGCACAACTACCTCTTCCTGTGGTTCTGGTCCAACTTCTGCTGGTTGTTCATCCTCAACCACTTCCTCCTCTGGTTGTGTGACTTCTTCTGACTCTTTCCCTGTTTCTGGATCTTCCTCTACAACCTCAGCCAGTTCTTCACTTGGTTCTGGTTCCTCTGATTCTGCTTCCTCAACTATGTTATCTTCAGGTTCATGCTCTGGTTCTGGTGCTGGTTCCAATACCTCAACCACAACTTCAGCAGGGGTTGTAGGTTCAACAACTTCTTCTTCTTCTACCTCTGAAATCTCCACCACTTCCTCCTCTGGTTCTGGAACCTCCGGGACTTCTTCTTCTTCTACAGGTTTCACAACATCAACTGCTTCCTCCTCAGCAACTTCTACTTCAGGTTCTGTTTCATCTGGAACTTCAGGTTCTGTTTCCTCTGTAACTTCGGGTTCTGTTTCTTCTGTAACTTCGGGTTCTGTTTCTTCTGGAACTTCGGGTTCTGTTTCATCTGGAACTTCGGGTTCTGTTTCTTCTGTAACTTCGGGTTCTGTTTCTTCTGTAACTTCGGGTTCTGTTTCATCTTGAACTTCGGGTTCTGTTTCTTCTGTAACTTCGGGTTCTGTTTCATCTGGAACTTCGGGTTCTGTTTCTTCTGGAACTTCGGGTTCTGTTTCATCTGGAACTTCGGGTTCTGTTTCTTCTGATTCCACTGCATTTAAAACCTCAGATATACCTTCTTCTGGTTCCTCGTTACCCTCTCCTTCCAGTTCAACTATTTCTTTTTCTGGCTGCATAACTTCGACTTCTTCTTCGACATGTTCTTCGTTCAAAATCTCAACAGCGCCATCGCTTGTTTCTGTTTCTGCTTCTGGTTCAGATTCTTCTGGCTCTGATCCTGCGACTTCCTCTTGATTTTCTACAGCTTCTTCTGGCTCTGAAACTTCAACTACTTCTTCCTCTGGCTCTGAAACTTCAGCCACTTCTTCCTCTGGCTCTGAAACTTCAACTACTTCTTCCTCTGGCTCTGAAACTTCAACTACTTCTTCCTCTGGCTCTGAAACTTCAGCTACTTCTTCCTCTGGCTCTGAAACTTCAGCCACTTCTTCTTCTGGCTCTAGAATTTCAACCTCCAACTCTGAGACGTCCTCTGTTTCCGGGACAGCCAATCCAGCCTCTTCCTCACCCGGCAAAGCGTTAACGTCCTCGTTTTCTTCTACGTTCACCATTGCCTCAGTGGGCGGTTGGCCTGTGATTCCTGAAAGTGTTGTGATTGTCACTTCCTCAGCAAAAGCAGCTGTAGTGAATAATACCTGTGAGGTGGGGGTGACAACATCCAAATCCTCCCCTTCTTCCTCAACAGGACTCAGGTCTTCCTCTGATATCAGGTTAGGAGACAGATTGATAAATGGAGCGTCCGTCTCCAGCTCCAGAATCACCGGAGAGATCGGGATGTAGTCTCTCACGAGTTCACCAATCTCGTCGTGATGAATGGTTTCAATCTCATGTGTAATGATTGGCAATCCTTCATTTGATAGCTCTGGCTCACCCACATAAATTGCCTCTTCCTCCTCTGTAATATCCTGAGAGGCTGGAGAGTTATCGTTTCTCTCCGCCATCCCTCCCGTTACTGCCGTGGTCTCATCATCGGGGAGGGCGGTGGGATCCAGGAGGGTCACGAGAGCGTTTTCCTTCTCCATGGGGGTGAGAGGGACCTCCAGCCGGGGTTTATTCACCTCTGGCTCCACAGTGGAAACCTCAAACTCGTTGTGAGAATCCGGCTGGGCAAAAGACAGGATTCATACATTCAAAAAGGTTGCATTTGTTGGTATTAGTCAGTGATTTTGCAGGTTTTTGTTACACAAGATTCAAGGCCATGAAAATCTGAGGTCACAGGCTCCTCCAGCAGAGCAACACAATAAAACAGACACAATAAAATAGTGCAAGGACAGTCTAAACACAACGCAAAGTGTTTTTAATACAAAAGACTTCTGTGGGTTATTGAGGGTTTGGTATCAGTACTTTTTACTGAACTTTATTTTTCCTTATAATTCCTTCAGAACCAAATCTTTTAGAGATTTCTGTCATTTTTCACAAATGATATTGAATAACGGAGAGTGTGTATCTTAATTAGTCCCAATTAATGACTAAAAAGTATATACCCTGAACATGAACAGTCACTAGCTAATTTAAAGCAACATTAGATATTATAATCTCCAATTCCCATACGTTTAGGACCCCTTGTGCATTAAGGAGTCTTTACTAACTAATTAAATCATCCTATGTGATGTGAAAAGGCAACTTTTAAAAGGTGTCAATTCCTCTGTGAATCAACATATAATGTATACTGATATATTACATGCTTTCTCCACACACTCTTTCCTTGAATAGGTAGACTAAAGAAAACTACTAGTATATTCAATATGATCCTTCCTGGAGTATATTTCCAGTAGCATGAATTAAACCTCTTACCTCATTCACCACTTCAATTGTAGAGGTTGCTGAGAGGGCTGGTAGGTGGATCACTTCTGTCCAAAAGAAAAGAGAATAATGCATTTTCATTCATGAGGTGGTTTCAGAGCATTTCCACTGCTGTTATTCCACATGCCAACACTAAGGACTACAATAGAGACCTCTGTTTGGAGATAGCACTGCACCTGGTTGGAAGTTAAGGGAGGTTAGATCGATCGGCAGCGAGGCTTCTTCTCGTAAAGCCTTGGTCACCATTTCTCTAAGATCAGCCATGACCGAATCCTCCGGGCTTTCGGTCGTCCCCTCTGCTTCCTCAGAGCTGATTTCCGGGGAGGTGACCTCAAAGATGAGAGAGTAGTGCACCGAGATTCCTCCGGGACTGAAACGAAGGAAACATCTCTGTGATTATCTCTTAAGACTCAAATGTTTTAATCACCTTATCTACATGTTCACGACTGTTCTGGTGATTTGTGTTGGTGCCACAAGGGATCTAAGGGATTCTGGTGATGATCTGCAGGGAGAGTTCAACACGCAGCAGGAAATCAGAAGTCATGGTGGCATTAAAACCAAAACAATGAGCTAAAAGAAACTAAAACTGTGACCAAATTGGATCATTTTTCACTACGAGCTTCATCCTTTCTGCACTACACCAGAGGAATATATTTCCCTTAGGAAAGTCAGAGCTAAAAGATCATTTAAATATTTTAATATTTCTGACATTAAAACCAAAAAGATGTGCTAAATGAAGTTAAAACGCTGAAGGAAAATACAGGTTTTCCCTTCGAGCTTCATCCTTTCTGCACTACACGTAATCAATTCATCAAAACCACAGCAATGAGCTAACAGAAGATACAACTCTAAAGGAAACAAAGCTCTCATAACTCTTTCTGTACACGGCCTGCTCAGCAGATACACACAGACTAGCTTGTGAACATAGTCTTAGTTAAGCAGCTAAAACATGGATTTAGTGATGGTTGAGCCCAAAATCAGAGCTAAAAGACTTACCTTTATTTCTGGTATTAAAAAAACTAAATAAATGATCAGCTAGTAGAAGCTAACAGAAGCTAACAGTCTGAATGAAACTGAGGAAATGGGATCATTTTACGTTTAAGAGCTTTTTCCTTTTTACAATACACGTAGCATGCATCACCAATAATAGCTATAAGTGTTGTTTTTAAACATTTGTTACACATTTGTTCCTGTGATTAGATTAGGCTGATACGACACTGATTGTTCTAGCATGTAAGACGGAGGAGCAGCATATTTCCCTCTGAAGTTGGTGAGGACAAAAACCAGAGCTAAAAGAGAAACTCAAACTCAAACTGTGTTCCTGACAGGAAAACAAAGAAAACGAGCTGAAAGTTCTTTGAAACTGAAGAAATGGTATCTCGGTCTGCAGGTAGTTCAAATAAGAGCTTTATCCTTTTTTACAAATTACACTGTTTGTTAAACTTGTTTTTCAACATTTGTACACATTCCCTGTGATTTAGATTTAGGGCTAATACGAGACTGATGTTCTGTATAAAACGATGGAGGACTTGATTTCCCTCAAGAGTTGGTCAAAGATATCAGGTTTATTTTCTATACTAACAACACAAAGTGGAGCTAAAAAGGAAGCTGAAACGCTGAACGCCAGCTTTTCTTTCTGATATTTTGGCACGTTCAATTTGATCAAATTTAAAAAAAAAAAAAAAAAAAAAAAAAAAATTAATGTGTTTGAACTCATGTAACACGTTTAATCGTGTGGTTAAATGAGGATTCTTATAGGAAACATTTCTCCAGGCACGAAAACAAGAAATTATCTCCCAAACTAAAATGTGCTAATCAACTCATCTATATGTGCAGGCCTAAGTTTTTTCTTCAGAGTCACACGTCCTGCTAATGTTAATTATAACGTTGGATTTTAAGGACTTCTGGGCTCCAGCATGAGCCCGGGGAGTTTATCTGCAGCAGGAGACCAGCAGATGAGTAATCAGAAGTCCGTGAAAGAGTAAAGAGAGAGGCACACTCAAAGGCCAGGCCGTGAATATCTGAAGCT